CTTGGCAACTACATCAGCCAATTCCCTCAGGACTCTGGGATGCATCTCATCAGGTCCCACAGACTTGTGCATGTTCAGGTTCCTCAGGTCATCCCAAACCTGATCTTCTCTTATAGTGGGAGGGACTTTGCTCCTCCAGTCCGTCTTGCAGGCCATCCACTTGGGAGGTGTGGGAAGAGACGCTGAGGCAAAGAAGCCATTGAGTATCTCAGCCTACTCCTCATCCATTGTGACCAGTCTGACAGTCTTGCTCATTGCGGGGGGGATACGCTTTCTTTCACCTTCCTTTTCTGGATGACATACCTGTAGAAGCCCTTCTTTGCACCCCTTGCCAAGTTCAGCTCCAGCCATGGCTTGGCCCTCCTGACCTCATCCCTACACAACCGGGCAGCATCCCTGTGCTCATTCCAGGATCCCTGTCCCTGTTTCCACTGCCTGTGCATTTCCTTCTTGCCCTTTAGTTTGACCAGCAGGACTAGAAGCCAGAATACAGACTTTATTCCTAACACCACTATTGCTCTATTGCAGCACTGTGTTTTACCTCTTTTTGTATAAATTTTATCATTTATAAAGTTAAGAATCACACTGGGCTTCAATATACCTTCGGATCTATAAAAAGAAATAAAGATCATATAGGCTATATATTTTTCAACAAAAATTCTGGCAGGGATGATGTTTACATTTTGTTCAATGTTAAGAACACAGCTGACATTTAAGTAATACAGTAGGATGTATAAAATGTGATTTTTTTTCCACATAATTCATAAGCTGGTAACATTTTGTAAGTACAAGAAGTCCTTTACTAGGGTATGGAAAATATGATTCACAGAAAAGCTGCATTGAAAGCAGCCCTCCACAAAACAATTGTGACACTCCCGGAAGCAAAAGTATACAAAACATTCCCTAGTTCATATGCCATGTTAAGAAGATACACTTTCAGCATGATATTCAGTGTTTATGGCTATTTTAATAGCTAATAATTTTGAAAACTGAACAGCTGCACTGTATGAATGGATATTTATGCAAGGGTTCAAGCACCAATCACATAGGACAGCATTAGTAAAATGGATATTTAAAAAAAGGTAAAGCCATGAACCAAATCATGCCGTTTTTAAAAAGCAGCAGAAATACTTTACAAAAAAGTAAATGTGTGTTTTAAACGGCTATCAAAAAGTCCTAAAACATTATATGATAAGAATGTGAAACTTTGGAAAGATGTCTTAAAAATACTCAGTGCTTACCTTTGTAGCATAGGTAGGTTTATCTATGGCTTCATCTCCTATGAAAAAGTCCAAATCATCAACGCCTTTCATTACTCTCCTCTGAGCCTGGTCACCTACTTTGGCTGATTCTCGGATTGCAATGCCTTAAAATAAAACCCAAACAAAACAAATCAAGATTAAAACGGCTAAATACCAAGTAATGAACATCTATTTACTGAAGAATTATTTTTCAGAAATAAAAATTGGGATATAGAAAGCATAGTTTCCAGAATGTAGAAATTATGTAAGCAATTTATTGACAAGCCAATATAGCAGAGCTCCTTCTCACTCCATCACACAGGATTCTGGTCACATATCCCTCATTAATCAAAATAACAACTCAGAGAAAAATCACAGAATCACAGAATGGTAGGGGTTGGAAGGGACCTCTGAAGATTGTCTGGTCCAACCCCCCCTGCCAAGGCAGGGTTACCTAGGGCAGGTTGCACAGGAACGCGTCTAGTCAGGTTTTGAAGGAGAAGGAGACTCCACAACCTCTCTGGGCAGCCTGTTCCAGTGCGCCGTCACCCTCACAGTAAAGAAGTTTTTCCTCATGTTGAGGTGGAACTTCCTGTGCTTCAGTTTATGCCCATTGCCCCTCATCCTGTCACTGGGCACCACTGAAAAGACTTGCTCCATCCTCCTGACATCCACCCTTCAGGTATTTATAGACATTGATAAGGTCCCCTCTCAGCCTTCTCTTCTCCAGACTAAAGAGCCCCAGGTCTCTCAGCCTTTCCTCATACGAGAGATGTTCCAGTCCCTTAATCATCCTCGTAGCCCTCTGTTGGACTCTCTCCAAAAGTTCCCCATCTCTCTTGAACTGGGGGGCCCAGAACTGGACACAATACTCCAGATGAGACCTCACCAGTGCAGAGTAGAGGGGGAGGATAACCTCTCTCAACCTGCTGGTCACACCCTTCTTAACACACCCCAGGATACCACTGGCCCTCTATGGCCACCAGGGCACATTGCTGTCCCATGGATAACTTACTGTCTACCAGGACTCCAAGGTCCTTCTCCAGGAAGCTACTTTCCAGCAGGTCAACCCCTACCCTGTACTGGTGCATGAGGTTGTTCCTCCCCAGGTGCAGAACTCTACACTTGTCCTTGTTAAATTTCATGAGGTTCCCCTCCGCCCAACTCTCCAGTCTGTCCAGATCCCGTTGAATGGCAGCACAGCCTCCTGGTGTATCAGCCACTCCTCACCTTTTTGTATCATCAGCAAACTTGCTGAGGGTACATTCCAACCCTTCATCTAGGTCATTGATGAAGATAGTGAACAAAATCGGATCTTAAAAGTCTACAAAAATCTTAAAAGTCTTAACAGAATACTGTTACAGACTACATCAGTCACTACACCTGCACAAGTGCAGCATTCCACTGGAGGTACTCTTTAAGCCAATAAGCAACATGATTTTCCAAGTTTCAACTCTAGAATTCAGAGAAAAAGCAGAGGAGAAGAAAATAAGCTATGTACTTCAGAAATAATTATTGGAGTCATTATCCCGGCCGGCAAGGAGGAGGAAGGGGGGAGGGGAAAAATCAATTTGCAGTGCTACAGAGAAATCTTTGGAGACACTAATGCTTCCCATTAGCAGGCTGCAACTACCACTAAAATTATTAGATGATGGCTGCTATACACAAGAAGATGAGACAGCAAAAACACAAATCTGGGGCAAGTTATAAATAAAAATGGAACAAAGTACTTTTAAAACATAACCTTATTTATATACATTTTTAATACATCATAATCAGCATCTAAATAACATACAGAAGAAAATGCAGAGTAGACAGGCATCATCCCCAAAGGCACCAAGTACTATCAGCACCAAAAATTACTGACAGGCAAATAATTCTTTTGGAAACACATCTAAGGCCCAACAAGTTTATAGTTTTATAAAACAGGATTTATAACAAATTCACAGGAAACTCCTGCTATCCCACTTCTTTAAGATGCCATTCAAACCTTTATCAGTGGTTTAGGTTTGAATTTTTTTTTTTTAACAATGCTTGAAAGAGTAAGACTATAACCAGTACTGCAGCTACATCTGGTAAAAAACATGTGCCCCTCCAACTCTTTGGCCCTCGATTACCTTTATTATTTCCTTATTTTTATACCTCCTGCTGTGAGCAGCTACATGGCAGCCTAGATGCATTAGTAAGTAGTTAACTGACAAAATTCTCAAAGAGTTAAAGGCAGTGTTTAACATAAGTGGAGATAACCATGAGATAATAGATGCCATTATAGATGTAAATATGTAGTCAGTGCTACTATTTGCAAATATATATAGCATTTGAGACAAACTATTAAGACAACAATTAGAATCAAGAACACCAGAAAGGTACAGCATTTCAAACAAGTTTAGCATACAAAAATAATCTCAACAAAAACATGTTAAATGGGCAAAACCATTTCAGTTGGTAAACATACACCCAAAAAGAACATTTTCTAACTGGAACAACTTTTTTGAATATTAAACTGTCTACAGTCCCAGACAATGTAAATAAGGCAGACACCACCTGCACTTTAGTACTTAATTTGATTGGAAGCCTTCCCCAGATTATCCGGGCAGTAACCATGGTGTCAGGTAGACAGGAGGTAAATTGCACTCTGTCTACTCAAGAGCCCTGGCAGAAAAATAATGGAGATAAAAAGGAAATTGGACTAGAGTTCTCTTCATCTTTGTCATAGCAACCAAGAGTTGATTTAATGAGCAACAGTCCTAGCTAACTGCAAACAAAGAGTTCTGTTCAGCTACACTCTAGCCAAAGATGCTAACGCAATGAATATCTCTTCCCAGATGGACAAGAGACTATGAAGGCTGAGGCGGGAGTTGGAAAGCACGTCATTTACTCACAAAACTGCTCAGTGATGGTGGTGTATATGAGAATTGGAGGGACAAAAAATTACTCACATGACGGGATAATGAACTGAGGTTCCGTATTTCCTGCATAGCCAAGTTTCGTATACCTAGAAAAAGAATGATCATGAGGTCATTAGATGCACTTAGATGTAAAAAAAAAAACAAACACCCCAACAAACCAAAACAACAAACCTTTCAATTCAGTACACTTCTTAAAGTGAAGGCCAAACAATTGCATACCACATCTAGATTTTCTAGGTGATGCTTTCAATTGTCATCCTGCTGAGAAGAAAACTCAGAAGTGGTAAATATTTTAGGTGTTATTTATTTGTCAGACACCTTCAGCTTACAAATTTTGGTAGCGGTTTTCTCTGAACTATGAAATCTGAAAACTCAGCTCCTGCTTCTCCATTTTCTTGACCAGCTATGATATAAGATGGGCAGGCCACATTCCACCCTTTGGTAAAGGAAGTGCTGTGCAGATCTTATCTTTGGTCATGGTAGCTTTCTGAAAGGTATCATTAGACTTTGCATATTTAATATTGTCACACACAGGAAAAAAAAAAACAGTAGCGTGTCTTAAGTACAAACCACAGTTCAGAAGTCTAGTTGCAATCCTCATACAATTCCCTTTCATGCCTTGCAGAAAACACTGTCATAGACATAGTATCTGTGTGTGGTAACATATACATACTACACCAAAGTAAGTCTGCATTGATAAAATGCTTTAGAAATAGGCAGCAGATGATGTGAAGCATTGTCCATCCCTTTCAATATCCATATAATGTCTATTTTAACAAGTAAAGGATCAAAAGAAAAAAGAAACTGGTAACTTGGGGATGAAAAAAAAGAAAAAGAATTTTCACCCAAAACATAAAATCTCTGCATGGTGTAACTGGCTGTAAGTTACTTCAGGTCTATAGCAACTAAAAATAATTAACATCCCAGACTATGGAAAACACTTCTAATTCCTCCAGGATGGGGGGAGATGACACTGAGAAGCAGTTTCCCAAAGAAAGGAAAAAACCCAACAAAATTAATTGAATAGTTTCAGAGACTGAAGTCTTTCTCTAACATTGTTATTAGGTTGGACTAGGAGCATGATTTGAGGGAAATTAGCATTATTCATATCCATTTTTACCATGAAAACCTAACACCATGGCATTCTTAAATGAGATTAGTCACAAACTGGGTCCTAAAGTGACTCTAGGGTCTTTGTCTACAGCCTGCTCTCAATATTTCCAAACAATATTATGCCATCGATAAAGCAGAGGGTTGCTTCTTCATTAACAGCTTAAACAGTGAGTTCCCCTTTATAGAGTATTTGGTACAAAACCACTCATGAAGAGTCAGTTTTCTTAGATACAGGAATTAAATCAAAACTGAATTAGCAATGACTTTGAATTTAAATGTTATTTTTTCAACATCTCTTCAGAGCTATAGCTTCAATAAAAAAGCTATTTTCCCCAAGGCTAAAAAGACAAGGACTGTGTTTTGGGGGCAAGGGTTTGTTGGATTTTTATTCATCATTACATAGGCATATGCTTTCAGTCTAATCCAAAATGTTTATGCACACTTTCTGTGGCTCTCAAAAAATACAATCTGGGCATTAGACTGATTTGTGAAGAAGGCCATTATTAGTAAGAATTCTTTTTATGATGATTATTGCATAGCTTCTTCACATTTTAGAATGAGGCCTACCTAGGGAATTTTGTTAAAACATAGCAAGCAACAACTAGAGTTACACTGGGATTTAAGACGCATTACAGGATACTTCCTCTTTGTTTCTCTCTCTGAAACGGGTTTTGCTCAAATGCACATAGTGAGGACGAAAGAAACCGGTTATGGATTGAAGAGACCTAGCTCTAAGACTTAGAAATGGCAATCAGGAAGAAATCTCATGAAAACAGCCCTTCAAGCCCCAGTAACAAAAAACAAAGTCAATATATACATATATACACATATACTTAAGCATGTGAACATGTACATATACTTTTTATACATTTATATATGTGTGCATATATATTTTTTTTTTTTTTAAATAAATTAAAGGCTCCTGCAACATAACCAGAACTCATTTCTTAAACTAAACTCTGGCTGAGAGGCGAGTTCAGTTTCCCATCTTTTCCCCCTCTACATACATGCTAAACTTACACCCATTCACAGCATTAAAAAGAAAACCTCCTCTAAAAGTCAGCTTAAGCTATCAGCCTGCAATAGCTTTACTTTCTCTCTCAAGTAGGGATCAGATCCCCCTACTGGAATAACTTATAAACTTACCAAAAGCATATAGCTCAATATTTTACTAATTTATTTTTTCAGTAGCTGAATTAATCCCACTTAAGACTATGAGATAAGCTTATTTCTCAGTATCAGTGAAAAATAGTACTTTTCAAAGAACACACCTTACAAAAGATAACATCTGTGAAGATTTCTTTTGCATGCCATTAACCCATGAAGGATTAATACTAGAATTACAAGAATAACTAAATTGTCAGTTCAACGTTGAAGCAAGGAAGTGGAAAAAACAAAATGCTGTTAAAAAAAAGATCTATTTGGGATCACAAAGAGACAGACTTGAACAAGTGGCCATACTTCAGGTGTTTTGACAAAACAAGATGGAAGGGAAACTCAAACTACTCTCAAAAACACTGAAGAAGAGAAGGAAAAGAGACAATGCAGTTGTACTGCCCTTTCTTATCCAGTAGCCTAGTCACTCAGGACATGGCAGACTTGGTCCCAGATTTTTCTTCTGCCCAGCAGGACCCGGACATGTTCTTTCCAGAGCCATACCCAAGAGTACATTAAAGTGTTTGGGTGACCCACTTCCAGGACCTCCTACAGACACTGTTCCCTTTTATACAAGATATTTAAATATTCATTGACCTGAAAGGCTCTGGACTTAAACAGTTAGAGAGGTTACCTGGTCTCCAGTCCCTTCTCCAATGAATATTTAAGCATCTAAAACATGGTTTTCCTTCTCCTGGGTTACAGCCTAGCAGACTGATGGCAATGCAACGTCTTGTGATCTGTAAATTACAGAGACAGCTGTAGGGAACACATAGATGATCAGTATTCCAACTTAATGTCATTAAAAGTAACAGATTTATTGCCAGTGAGATAGAAAGCTACTGGAAACTCTCCAAAATATAGGGTACTGGAGACTGCATGAAAGATTAGTAGCAAACCGATCCAATAGGCTAAGGCTATTTTATGCAAGGGGATTTGAAGGGACTACTCATTTTTAAAAAAAAAATCAGCTGCAAATTATATATTGTTGAAACAAGCAGTTTCTAAAAAATAAAGATCTTTTGTACACCCTGTTTTTCCCAGGTGATTAGTTAGTACACAAAGCAGTTTCACTGGCTTTTGCTTGAGGCATGGCAAGCCCTGACCCCCTTCTTTTCCGAAGTCCTACCATGAAAAAAAATGGAAAAGCTTACATAGAAAAATTACTGCAAAGATGTACCAATAGACCAAACCTGGAAGCAGATACTGCACCCTCAACCATTTTAAAGAGCAGGGATGTATTTTGGAAAATTCTTACTAAAGCATGAGAACAACATAATTAGACATATAAAAATCACAAACTCAAGCAGTTGCTTTATCCATCTCAAAACACAGAGACATCCAATTTTTTTTCTGGACAAGTATATGAAGACCAAAGTCCAGCTGAAATTTTAGCATTTCCTCAATTTCTGTGGCTTTTTTTGGTCAACATCTTTAAAACAATGTGTTACATCCACAAAAAAAAAAAAAGGCTCTGAAGAGATAGATATGAAGTGACTGAAAACAGCAAAATGCTTTAAGAAAGTCCTGTAAACAAACAAAAAATGAACTCTGTAAAGAGAACGCTGACAGCTAAGATGTTAAATAACTAACACTTATTACTGCCAGAACACCTGTGATGCCATGCTGCCATGAACAGACTGTATTATCATTATTACAAATCTGCCTGAGAAACTCACAGCACAAGGTCTTCATACAGATGTAGAAAGGCACTTTTGTGGATGTGATGAAGGAATGGGAATGAAGAAAGAAGGGATGAAGGAGGAAATCTCAAACAGAAAAAAAATCTATTATGTCTGCTCTACCTACCCAAGAGCACCAGCAGCCACTATAGCGATAAAGAGTACATTAGAGCCACTGCTTTTTTTTTTTTTTTTTAAAGTCTAGCACTTTACAGGAACCAAGCCTGTGATTATAAACAACAGTTAATTAACCCAGGTTCCTTAGACCCACAACAGCAATTACAGTAACGCTCGTTCACAAGTCTCACATGTAAAAAGTAGAGGTAATACTTGGCTAAAGCAACTCATTTAGCATCAGAAATATACTAAGGGAGAAAATGTACCATGTTCTGAGGTTCCAGGTATCTTTAATAGTCCAACAATAACAACAAACACCCGAAGCTTCCAGTTTTAAGTCAAGCCCAGCTCACTCGTCCCAGAAATCAAGCATTTAACTCTACGCTCATCCGTAAGGCTTTGCCGAATTTTTCTTTACTAAAAGAAAAATGGAGTGACTTCAATAAGGCACATCCAAAAGAGAAGTATTCCTCAGTGCCTGCACACACACACTGAAGAGATGTAGTTTAATACATCTTTGTTTTGCACACCCACCTACTAGTGTTCTGATGTCCCACAGCTAAATGCCAGTTAATAAAACTGGTTATGAAGTTTAAAGCTACTTAAAATAGCAACACCAAAAAGGCCTGGTAGTCCTAAGAAACTAAAAATAGCAGGCCCTTCTCCACAAAAAGACTGATAGCAATCTGTAAACCAATCACGAGGAAAACCTCATGCAAAGAAAATTAAGATGTCCTATTTCAATTTTGACGCACTACAAGTCATTTGCAAATATTAATGGAAAGATAACAGGAAATTATTACCATTTTCTGCAAAATTTATGAGTAAAGATTGAACCGTTTATGCCAAAGAAAGTTCAAGTCATCCATCCAATAGAGAAAAGGAATGTTATCCTGTCCTGCAATGGACGATATGTTTCTTGCTGAAGGTTTGTACCTATTTTCTATACACTTGTTGCTTCTTTTTTGAGAAATTCCAGCATTTTACAGGGCTGAGGCTTATGGCTGCAAACAATAGTAAATTAAACCAGGCTCCTTACACACAAAAACAACAACAACAAGAAGAGTCTTTTCACAAACTTCTTAAATCCCCTTACACAAGAAGAAGAGGGATTAATGCCTGGACAAAGCACCTCATTCAGTATCAGAGATGTAAGTAGAAAAGTGTATTTTATATACATAATGTTTCACAGCACATGTCTGCATATACCTCTTCCTTTCTGCTATTCTTTTCCAAGTTTTTCATCTGAAAGCCCTTTCGTGAATAATTTGAATGAATTGTTTGAAGTTTGTAACCCAAAGTACATTCATGCTAACAATAAAAAGGTTTTCACAGCCCACACACAGGAAAATTCCAGAGATTGAGCATCAATGAGTCAAGCTACTTCAACTGGCTGCTTTGGTTCAGGCTCTATTTCTTCTTGAATTCTGCAAAATAACTTATTTCAAATTCAATAATCTCATTGCTGAAAAGTCTTACACATGTCAGTGCCCTGTGGTGAAGCCAAGCAGAATTCCCACCAGCAGAGACACCATGTTGTCTCATATGAGTTAAGATCATTTGGAGGCTTGGAAATGTGAAGTCACATCATCTGTGGACTATCCGAACCCTTCCTGAAACAAACTGATATACACATCCCCATACAAAAATTCCACCACTTTCCCATGAAAGCACTAAATAGATTTTAGAATTTCTACTTAAATTATTATTTCTCTGAAAGGACACAATAAGCCATTTTCTGTCCTGATTTATTTTGTACAACTGTTCGTCAGCAACATCTATTCCTAGTGCAACACTGGAATCACTCCACAAACTGAGAGCAAAGGAGGTCTCCTTCAAGAGACAGACATTGCATTTAATGCATTCTCTGGATTTTGTAGTTTATACTGTGGCCTTTTTAAAGGATCCACCTAAAGCTCCCATTTCTCTCCTTCAAAAACTCTTCAAAACTGCCAAGTAATATTCCTGTAATACCAACAGTTCTGTAGAGAGCAGATATTTAAAGTATCTTCAGCAAATACACAGAAGGAAGCTGGGAAACTACCAAGGCATATCTAATGCACAGGCAAAATTACATGCAAGATGGAACCCGGCCTCTATTCTACTCTCAAAGTTTCCAGCTTAGGACTCCAGTATTCGCCACTGAGGGGAGAGAGCTGATTTCTGGTAAGACAAGGTATAAACAGAAACACGACAAGAGACTTCTAAAAGTTTTATGACAGTTCAATAAAGACGTATTTCAAAATATGAAACACTTTCTCAGGAGAAGGTGTTGTGACACTGCATCACTGGAAAGTGCTTCCTCTGTTTATCTAGGGGTTTGGAGTTTTGTTTGTTTGGCTTGGTTTTGGGTTTGTTTTAAGATGGTTCAGTTTTAGAAGTTTTAAAGGTAACTTTCCAAGCATTAAATAAACAAAATCAGTGCTGCAAATTCTCTGCAGAGGAAAGGTCTATTATTGCAATAAATTGATGCAATCCATGACACTGAGGCATAGGCTGACAAGTAAAGTTATTGGCTGAATAGTTACTCATGGACCAGTATCTCCTCAAAGCCGTCTGTAACAGGAAAGCACAGGAAAGACATGGACTTGTTGGAGCGGGTCCAGGGGAGGCCACAGAAATGATCAGAGGGATCATGGAACACCTCTCCTGTGAGGACAGGCTGGGAGAGTTGGGGTTGTTCAGCCTGGAGAACAGAAGGCTCCAGGAAGACCTTATTGCAGCCTTCCAGTACTTAAAGGGGGCTTAGAAGAAAGATGGGGACAGACATTTAGCAGGGCCTGCTGCAATAGCACAAGGGATAATGGTTTTAAACAAAAAGAGGGAAGACTTAGACTAGGTAAGGAAGAAATTTTTCACCATGAGGGTGGTGAAACCCTGGCACAGGTTGCCCAGAGGGGTGCTAGATGCCCCAGCCCTGGAAACATTCAAGGTCAGGCTGGACGGCACTCTGAGCAACCTGATCTAGTTGAAAATGCTCATTGCAGGGGCATTGGATGAGATAACCTTAAAGGTTCCTTCCAACCCAAACTGTTCTACGATTCTACGATAACCGCTGGGTCAAAGGAAAGATAGTAGCAAGAGCACACCATATATTCAGTATCACCTTAATTACAGCTCCCTCTGACACCTCCCACTCCTGAGGCACAGCAGAACTAGTCTATCGGATGATGAATGGGCCCTCTCTAGCCACAAACAGGTAGGAAAGACTTGTTCCCAAAACACCTCCCGAGCACAACTTCTGCAATTTAGATTCATCTTAGTCCTCAAAGACTGGAGTTACAAAACTTGTGGTTTGGCTAAATGTAGACTAGATCTCACACTGATTTGTCAAAGGTGAAGAAGGGATGAACTAAGGACCAAGAAACACCAGTAGTACTAAGACAGCCAGCTCCCAGCTCATTGCTGGCCGGAGGTAGTACCTGGAAAGGTTCAAGAAGACGTACATGCTGTCTAGAGGCACGGCCAGATGCAATCTGGCAAGGCCACTGCAGTCCCGGAGCTGTACATGAAGGAGACACCGCAGCCCAGCAAGCACACCTCACCTGCCTCCGGAGCACAGCTGGTGCCGGTTCATAGCTCCCAGGCAAAGCGAACGTGTGTCCACTCTCTCCAGGCAGTCAATTTGAAAGAAGCTATCCCCAGTTTTAGCATTTTAATTATGCAACAGTTTAAAGTCAGAGAACATGAACAAAAACTGGACCCAAGGGGAGAAAAGGGCACATGGAGACACACCATTCCCGAAGGCACACGGCCTGCCCGGGGCGTACGGCTGGGGCACGGCAGGTCTGTCCTGCTCCAAGCTCCCAACGGGGAAGAAGGGCAGGAGGAGGGTACTCAGTGGAGGGCGGTGGGCAGCAGCAGCCGCCCCAGCGGCGGAGACCCCCGGGGAAAGGGAGACCCTCCGCCCCAGGGACGACAGGCCGAGAGGAGACCGCGACACACAGCAGGAGCCCAGCCCCGTACGAGGGGAAGGGAGTCCCCGCTGAGGGCCCTGCCCGGCAGCGGGAGGCGGCTGAGGGGCGCCGGCACGGCGGAGACACCCCTCCACTCCCCAGAAAGGGGA